TCTATGCTAAGTTAAAGGTAGGAAATGTTTCTTGGCGTACCACACAAAACAGTAATAAAGTATAATGTATAGTATGCTATACACTGATAATCGCAGATTATTTTCATCAAGTGTGGCAATGTATAGTATATTATACATAGTTTTTTCTAAAAAATAAAACCTCTATATTTTTTTTGGTATTTTTTTAACTTCTTTTAAATGCCTAATAAACCATTAAAACTATTTTTAGTTGTTTTCATTTGCTAAAAGTATCGTGCGACTTTAAGGGTTAAGTATAGAGTGTGTAAAATCTATGTATAACTATGTAAATATATACATATATATATATATATATATATATATATATATATATATATATATATATATATATATAAATTCATATATATAACTGTGTAAAAAAAACTCTCAGAACGCGTTTAGCTCACAAATTTGCGAAACCGGGATAATTTTATTACTTTATGGCAGTTTGTTACCATTTATGCCAATAACAAGTCGAACTGAAGTTATATATTTTTTGTAGTCTCTACCGGCGGGTGTGAGTATAGATAGCGACAGTGTACGCGCGAAAGGTAAATAAAGGCGTCGCCATTTTTAGTCCTATTCTTTAACCGCACGAGTAGTACATACATTAAAAAAACATTTGCATTGAGGATCTCCTCCTTTTTTTTTTTGAAGTCGATTGAAAATTAATAGACAAGATAAATATATTATTACTAAATCTCTTACGGCAAGTTTCATTTCGCAGAATAAATAAACCCGAATATTTTTTGCTTGACACATTTTTGTATTGAAACAAGAATAAGTTCATCACGTTGCTTCGGTGCGAATTTATCGACTTCGTTAATTTGTTCTCGAAATACACTATTATTTTATTTCGCAGGCTGTGAGTTTTCTTTGCACGTTGTTTTGAATTCCAGTACACGTGATGATATTGACACTTCATTACATTCAATAGTCCATTGCTGAACGGAGGCCTATAAGGGAGATATTTACACGTTGTTTTTTTTTAATTATTTTGAAGTTACTAACAGAAAGATGTTGCTGCCCATCTCCAGTTCCAATTTCCTCTATCGACTCTAACGACATCCACGGGATGATATGGAGTATTGAATTCTCCTACACCGTTACTTCGCGGTGAATCGGCACTTATTTATTTATGCCATATATAAAGTCATAATATTTAAGTAAATAATTACGATACTATTTTAAATATTTGCTATAATTATTCATAGAAAAATGTCATTTTTATTTTTAGCACTGTTCGAATTCTCTCGAATGAAAATCCTTTTCAACTTGCAGTTCTACTTCTTTACTTGCCCTGAACAGGTAGACAATACCTTTTGGCATTAAGTTCACCTTTTTGTACTTGGTGTGCAAATAAAGTTTAAATAAATAATATTTTGCAAGCGTTGTGTGAAAGCGTTAAATTAATATGTTATGGTTGTACAGAACGGGTAATGTTAGTATACTTAAATTATAAACTTATGATTAGCCGGTTTAACTTAGCTTAACTTAGGATAAACTTTTTTGAGCGTAGGCAAACACACCCTACTTGGTTAAGGTGTATTCGATTTATTTATAAAACTAGGGTATACAACAAGGCTAAAACTAGATGTAGATGTAGCCGGTTTTCAGTAGGTTAAGTAGTTGCCCAAGAGCTGTCCCAGACGCTCATTTATTATAGGGCTAAAGAATTTTTTTTATTTCTTTTTTTAATTTAGGGACTTATGTCATTTTTAACATGTCAGTCCCATCGTACCTTATAACTTAATAACACACTACAATTTATTAAATTATTTACACAAAATACCAACTAAATTATATACCCCGAAAAAGTTTATTGCAAATAAACACAGGATTGAACGACAAACAACCATCTTAAGTTTATTTATTTTTTAAATTTGCTGTTATCGGAAACATATAATAGGTTGAAAACATTAGGCTAATCAATAAAAAATACCTAATTTTGAAAAAAAGAATTCCATATTTATAAAACAAAATTAATTTGGAATTAGAATTCTTAGCTAAACAAAAAATATTGTGATTTGAAACGGCCAGTACTGCAGAAGGGCAATTTCATAGATAAAGACCTAATATCAAATGAGTAAAATTTAGAAAATGCTGATTTAAACCAGTGTAATCTAATGGAAAAACTTTCCACGGTTTATTAGCAGGGTGCTGCCCATTAGGGAGGTACAGTAAGTCAGCTCAAATTCTAATTTCGCTCCCACTTCCCAGCGCGTCGTATGCTATGTACCGACATGTTTGTAATCACTAATACTATAAGTAGATAGGTCGTTAGACACTTATTTCATTAGGTTTATCATATTTATGCCTGTTTCTTAACGCCAACCCAGTCGCTTCTTATTTTTATCACGGTTATTTCCCGTTTTAATTTTACGTCGTCCTGTTGCGTAATGTGTATTCTGATCGTAAGCGACACAACTTCCCCCTTCAAAAGCCTAAGCGATATTAACGGGGCGACAGGAATTAAGCTTCAAGACGCCGATAGTTTAGGTAATTTCTTTTTACAGTGAAAATAATGGTATTTTAAAAAAAGTAAATAACATAAGCACTGCTTTATAGTTAGTTCAGTTAGTATGCAAATATGAGAACAGCGTTTATTGTTCAGTTTGGAGGTAACTTTGGTTTTTTTTCTATCGAGAAAATTTTACGGAATCGTGTTTTCGTCTAACATAGTTCTTAACATTAATCCTCAACTTTACCATATATTTATTTCAAAATTAATGCTGCAATACTTTCGGCATAACGGAAGATCTTGCTGAGCCATTTGAGGTTATATTTCCCCTTAAGCAACTTTCCGTTGTATTATCTATTCGTTTGACCATTAAATCGCCCCTAACTCATAAAAGATGTGCTCTGAGAAAACAATAACCGATACGAGTACGTTTATCTCTGATATGAAGATCTGTGAATGTTTTTATGGTTACGTGCGTCTGAAAATAAAGATTAACCACTTTTATAAGTCAAACGATGCGTAGTTTTATGTGATAATTTGGAAACAAACACTAGTCTGATCACACAGAAGATAAAAGATACATAATATAAGTGGAACGTATGTCTAGGTTACCGGTTAGTACCACCCAATGCCAAGCTGCAGTGAAACCAATGCTGAGTTCTTGTGTGAGAGATAAGAAATTCAATATAATTTAAAATTTAAATTAATTTAAATTAAGTTTTAAAAAAAATTACAGGCTGTGATGCATTTGTTTGTTTAAAGTTTGTCCCAAGCATCTATGGTTTGCTGAAGACACTTATCTTCAGGTGAACTGTTAGCTTGTTTGAAGCTGTTATATTACAAAAAAATAACACAACGTAACATAAACTCTTACGCGATTCATCCAGAGGAGTAGACATAGACTATGCACTTCCATTTGGCAAGGACACATCTCTCTCGTTATAAATTATAATCATATCCATATATCTACGCTTATTAAGGGTACTCTTAATTTAACACACCTTCAATATATTGCTAATTGGGTCAAAAAACTTCCATCTAGAGTTCTAAGGCGTCCCTTGCCGAATCAACTCCTCTTGCAGCATAAATATGCTATGCAATTATTTCTTCATTCTTAGACACGTAGATCTAAACAAGAGAACTTTCTCTTTCCATTCTCAATCCTAGTTACAACATATTCCAAACCACATTTTTTTTCATATCACACTATTTCCCACTGCATGGTTCATAGTCACCCCTAACATACTTCTTAATGACCGCATTTCTACAGCTTTAAGTTTACTCTCATGCATCTTCTGTTACACCCAAGTTTTACTGATAGGGCTAACACAGCATTGTCACAGAAGCAGTAAGAAAAAAATCATCGTTGTATCTCAATTACAATAAGTTAAAGTCATTCGGAAAAAAAAAAAATTTTTTTTTTTTTCTTATAATACCTCTTTTTTTTATCCCCCCCTCACTCTTTAAAAAAAAAAAAAAAAACTGCGTCGATTTCCGCAAACTGCACCAAAATCAAAAAAGCTCCTAAAAGCTCAAAGAGCTCAAAACCGTCGTGACAGGTGAAATTTTAACCGCATTGCATTTGAAATTAGTGGGAATTTGCAGAGATGGCCTGGTTGTGGCTATAGGGTCAACCGTATTTTTTGACGGCGGGTGACGAGTACACAGTACATCTTATGGTAAGTGGATGCTGTGGCCAATAGGCATCTACATTTATGCTCGATTAATAAATAAAATGCAAATGCGTTGTCACCCCTAAGGACTGATTTTGATTTGATTACAAGAGAATGCCTCGTTTCCAATAAAAAGGGTCTCCGGTTCTCTACACTTACCATTCGAAACAGAGCAGTATTGAGCTATTTTACGTTGGTATTCTGGGACAGCGTCGTCATCATAATATAGCTGCAGCCTGGCTCTACCATGTAAAATAACAAAGCAACGTCACTATTGCTGTAACACAGGCTGAGTCGGTACGATAATTAGTAAATACGACCAAATATTATTAAAAATTAATGTTTAATTAAAAAAAAACGAATAAAGACAATAAAATGATTTCGCACCTGAAATCGGTGCTAAGACATGTTGCTGAGATGAATTAAAGTACCGTCAGCTTTTACTTCTTATTTAAACTATTTCTTTACGGAATATCACAATCTCAACGTCGTCTAAATAGTTTACATTGAATACTTTATGTCCTATTTTGCCACCCTGAGAGTAACGGGTGGAATTTTTAAAATTTATACGATAAATATAAATGAATCATTAAAATCAGTTTATAATTAACAAAGATATCGCGTAACATACACAAAAAAAAACATACAAATTGCAAACCTCCTCCTTTTTTGAAGTCGGCTAATTAGAAACAAAGTTTTTAATTTTTTGTATGGTTAAGGATTTAACTGTTCCGTCTAAATTAAAATCAATGAGAGTAAATGTAAATAGACTCGTAGTATGAAAGCAAGTAATATAGCAGTAATGTGAAAGGCAGCTAAGTAACAGATTAATGTGGTGGCGCACTCAC